ACGAGGCGCAAACTGCCGAACTCCCATATTTTAATCGAAATAAGAATAGAAATTCTAGATCAGCACGGAAATTTTGCTGTAAATCAATTTTTGCAAAGAAGCACGAGAAAAATTCTAGAGCTGGCACTAGAAAATTTCTCGGTGTCAATTTTGTGGGGAATTCCGTACAAAATTGTGGGAAAAACTTCATTAATTCTTGGTAACATTACAAATTTTATTGTGCAGTTGGACAATTTTTCTAGTGCTAGCACTAGAATTTTTGCCATTCTTTCTATTCTCGTACGTGTCCGTGCGACATCGGCAACGTTCGGCTCGCCGAAGTGAGTCAAACAGCTGCACTCAGGAGTCCCGAGTGGAGACTTACAAATGACGTCTTCAACGTCGGGTAACGTTAGCGCGTGTTCTGTAGAATTATGTGATAATCAGGGATTATTGGGCCTATTTTTCTCTGAAGGTGTGATTAACCATATCACATTTGTGGAAAAAAAAGTGTGAAACAACCGGTCGTAGAAATTGTTGAAAATTACTGACATTATTCAGTGATGATGTCTTAAGATAATGTAATTCCCTGTAATCGTGGAACAAATGCAATAAAAAAAATCTATAAAAATAATTCGTTGGCTTAAGGCTCATTTTTGTTGATACTGTAGTACATTAATTTAAATAACGTTGATGTTATTAATAAATAATTAAGGGAAAAAAAATTGTGGCCGGGGAAAATTTTTTTGTCTGTCGAGTAATTTTTCGTTTACCGATAACGAAGATTTCGTGATGAAACGACAAATTTTCTAGTGCCGAAGGGGAAATTTTTATGTGCTGGCACATTGCGCCTCAATTCTAGTGCAGCACTAGAATTTTTCCCGGAATTTCCCCACAAAAATTCTGACTTTTCTCTCCGTGTAGGTCTGACATAAAACACTAACGCCACACTTAATTCAAGTGGATTATTTTGCTCGCTATGTTCAGGCTAGAAATACATTTCGAAACTTGCGCTCCGTTTCACAAAAATCACACATGAAAATGTCCATTCAGTGCTCCTTTTTTTCAATACCATCTGTCGGTGTTCCCCTGCAGCTAGTTCTCATTCGAGATGTTTCGAGTCCGATATTTTCCAATTCGAGCTTCTTCCCTCATGTCTGTTTTTGCTACGGGAACTTCATGAAAAATTCGGCGTTTAGAGATAGGATTAAATAAATCACAAAGCCTCTCTCTAATCACGAAGAACATCATCAAGACCACAAATAGATATACTCACTGATGATATCAAGGGAACCCAAGTGTTAAGCCCAACATTTGTGCACGTGAATCTTCATAATCAAGCGTAATGACTTAATGAGAAAACAAAGCGCCTGTAGGGAACCTGGGGCACACGGCTCAATGGTACCCATATGTGACAGGCATATTCATTAGCATAACACTCCCACATTCTGTGATTGTCCATCACATAGAGGATTTCGTGGCAATTGGATTTCAACAATTCATACTCAGGTGCTTCGCCCTCAAAGAAACATGCTGAATCTCTCTCGGAACCAGCTGCATAATGCAGAATGCAATAACTACTTCATCACGTGCCAAAATGTTCGTGGAGACTAAAATAAACCTATTGTAACAATGAAAACTCCCACTGTTGGGAAATTAATCTTGTATTCGAAGCAGAAAGTCCTGAAATTTTCAAAGATCAATCCCCATGAATTTAACATATACACGATTAACAAACTAGTGCACCCAAAAAAAAAACTTTTGATCAGTAGAAAAAGTACTTGTACCCGGTATCAAGGGGTTTCTGGGGAAAAGGCATATTTTTGTACTTCATCGAAGTTACAAAACAACTTGATGCAAGTATCATGCGTCAAGTATCTGTGTACTGGTGAGAAGTAGCGCAGTACTTGTCACAAGTATTTTGTTACTGAAGCCAAGTAACAAAATTACTTGTACCGAGTGCCTGGCTGGTTCTTTCCAAAAGTACCAAATAAACTCAATATAAGTTGAGTATAAGAACTCAAAAATGTTTTTCTACCTCTTCTAAAAACCGAATTTCGTCAAAAATTCAAAAATCCAAATAATTCCCGTTTTATGAGTAATAAAATTGAAAATAATTTTTCGAAGCCTTTTAAATGTTGATAACAACATAAAACATAAAGATCTCAACAAAATTTAAATTTTGTAGGTTGGAAAACATACCAATAATTCTCGAAAGCAACCATAAAAATCGCCACCTATTGATTTTTCCTACAAAATATCTTCTGCTGAACATTTTTACAAAAATGCGTAAGAAAGCCCATTCTATTCGGTAATAATATTCACTTTTCTCAATAAAGTAATCAATTGGAGGGACTTTAGGTACCTGTGAAAAGTACTAAAAGTACTGATAGTAAGTAGTGATACTACTTCCTCCCGGTACCATTTCTACTCGATCGGCAGATGTGGTACTTCACCCAAGGACAAGAAATGTACTTGGGACGAGTATTTCTAGAACTTTTCAAAACTGAACTTCCCCCAAGTACCGGTTTGTACTGGTGAAAAGTAGTGATGCCATCGAAATTAGTCGAGAATTACTTTGAAGAGATCATCACGGTCTGGAACAACATCGAAAGTTTTGGAATCGTCGCAATTTCGAAAGACATTGGATCGGTGCATCTTGTCACAATTCCGGGAGGATTTATCTTGCCTGGACCTCGAGATTTTCGCTTTTTTAAGTTCACGAGACGAGATGAGACAGATATCGAGACAAACATTTGAAAAACAGAAAATACTGAAACTCAGACGTGATGGATCCTTCCAAGTTCGTGACGAGATGCACCGGTCCAATGTCTTTCGAGATTACGACGATTTCTAAACTTTCGATGTTTTTTTAGACCGTGATGATATTTCCATAAGTAATACCACAAGAGCTTCAAAATTATCAGGTATTTCCCGATAGGTTCGTTTGTATGCAGGGAACCTTGAGGGAAATACCTGATTAATTTTGAACCTCGAGTGGTATTCGAAGGGGAATTTTTCCATCCAATTTTCGGCCAAGAGGATTGCACTATGAGACAAATTCCATTTGTCAGTTCCAACGAAGGGTTCAATCGACCGGTAAATCTTTTGTTTTCCATAGACATGAAAGCAACGTGAAAAATTACCAGTTGAATAATCAAAAAATTATCAGTTGAATTTCGTGTTGACTATATAAAAAACAGTCGAATAGGGCAATCCTATTGGCTGAAATTTGGATGGGAAAAATTCCCAAAATAATTCTCGCCTGGTCTCGACTGCATCACTAGTGACAAGTGATTTTTTTTTTGGGCGTATAATCACATTCGTCAGATAATACTTTTATCGCCGCGTGACATAATAATAGGGGAGGATGGGGCAAAACGGCCCCCCTTCAATCGTCAATATTTTCCGATTCAATAATCCGATTGGGATGAGTTAGAGCTCGTTTTGAAGAATGAAAAATTATCTTCAAAATGAAGTTGAAACTGGGAATTTTCACAATGTCATTCACAAGTTATTGACAATTGAAGGGGGACCGTTTTGCCCCACCCTCCCTTACATTAGAGTACAAGGGCACAAATTTCGTTTTCGACGAATGTGAAGTTTACAGGCCGAGCCGAAGGCGAGGTCTGTATTCACATTCGTTGAAAACGAAGTTTATGCCCGAGTGGTCTATACTATTTTATGCCACATCGTGCAGAAGTCGAGTTTGAAGCACGCTGCGCACAGCGCAGCGTGCGATAAACTCGACTTATTGCACGGCGTGCCATAAAATATCATTTGCCTTATTTAATAAAGAATTTCATCAGTTACGGAAAAATCTCCGAGCTTTTCTCATAAAATTGGTTATTATCACACAAGTCACACCGAATTTTCTCGCCATTATTTCATGAGAATTGAGAGATTGTCCCATAAAAAAAAGGCATTTTTTAAATTCGTTGGGCGGAGTTGGGGCGGATAAGAATGTGAAACGCAAGACAAACAGTTTTGTTGTTTTACCCGGAGGATTTCATCGTTGGCAACGACGCGACTTGATATAACAACTTCGGGATGAATTTCAAATTGGATTTGTACTCGGAGATACCTTTAGCGGGTGCTTGAAATTTTATTGGATTCTAGGATTGCTAAAATTGCATGACTTTATACATAACGTACAGAATAGAGCAGAAAATACAATTTCTTTTGTTTCTTTTCATTTATTCGCATTTTTTTAATGTTTTGATTTTATTGCAGGTGAATATATTTGGGGTGATTTGCATGGATCGATTGAGAGAACTTGTGCGAAAATGGATATATTTACGAATCGCGATATTCCTTTGTCTGGACGGGGAGAAGGCTATAAAAATCCTTCGAAATCAATGTGTTATGGAAAAAGGGGCACAATAGATTTTTTTATTTTTTTTTGAAACTCGTGCATGGAATAGTGGCACTTTTCGTAACTTCTACGATAGTAAATGAAAAGTGACATTTCGTTTACCGGCATGGAGAGAAATATTCAATAAAAATTACGTATCTTTTCCATAATTCAGGAGCGACATGTGGTTGTAGGAAATTTTACGGAACTGTCGCGGAATTTTTCCGGAGCGTTCCGTAATTTTTCTCTGAATCTCCTGTGAAAAATTACGGTACTGTGTGAATTTCATAGAAAAACCTAGTGAATTCGCTAGAAAATTCTATTGGATTTTGATTGAATATCCCATTAGTTTTTGGCCGATTCTAAAATCCTCTGAATGGAACACTCACTACAGCACACAACGCCTATACAAGCACGGTTGTCTGTTCCCTTACACCGACCGGGTTTAGTAGGATTTTCCGTTCTATACTTACTAATTTCTGCTCGCGTTTACTATGTGTAGCTTTCGATATAGGAATTTTTACTATTTTATTTTCGCCGTGTAATCGCTAAATTATGAGTTATTGATAATCAAAAGAACTGAATTTTTCCTGAATTTTCCTTGTAAAATCTATATCAGATATCCACTTACGTTGAGCAAAGGATCTGCGTCTTCGGTGGAGGGATAGGTTGGAGACGGGTTTTCGGTCCGGGAGTACATTAAAGCATCCCTCCAGCATCGGACTTCGTCCCCAAGATGATTATCTGAAACTAAAAAATAATTCATTTCTAAAATCAAACTCGTCCGTTTAAGATGTGATAATTAGCATCAAATGACCTGATGTAGTCTTGAATTATTAACATATTCAGTTGATTCAAACGTATCTTACATAATCTAATTTCACTCTGAACTCTGTTCAACAGTGATTGAATTAGTGAACCAAAACAATTCAATCTCCTCCACTGAAAATAATTTAATTCTACCAATCAAATGTGTGTCAGACATACGAATGTTCAGAATTTCCACACGAAATTTCACCGTGAACTAATGTCTGAAATAAATTTGATTGACGGAATTACATTTTATTTTCAGGGTATGAAATGCCAAGTCGCTTGTGAAAATTAATATTTGAATAGCAATTATTATTCAGATCGGTTCACAAGTCAATATTATTCGGGGAAAAATTCACTTGTCATTTCTTTTGACAAATTCTCACATACTCCGAAAATAATCCGGCGGGGAGAGGATATTAAAAAATAGGGGGTTTGTTAAAAATTTCGAGCCTTTTCACTTGAAATTTCAATAGTAATTTTCTAAAAGTGTCGCAAAATTCCTCACGAGGCAATTTTTATCCAACTTTTCTCTCCATGTAGAAACATCATTCGAGACCACGCTGAGAGATACAACAGATTTTTACACGGAAAGAAATATTCAGTAAAAATTATGGAACTCACAGTTCGCTCACCGACTACGGAATCGACTCAGAAAATTTAAATGACGGTATTGTAATTTTTCACAGGAGATTTAGGTAAAAATTACGGCGCGCTCTGGAAAAATTCCGTGATTTTAGGTAAAAACCACATTTTGCTCCGGGATTACGGAAAAGATACGGAATTTTTAATGAATTTTCCTCTCCGTGTAGGATTAAGTCCATTCTAGTCTCAATTTTCTAATCTGATTTTTTTTCCTGCCTAGAATACAAAATATCCCTTAAAATTAACTCCACAAGTAAACAAAAAATTATCTCATTTCACTTCATAAACTTTGCTCCCGAATTCACCTCATCCAACACGTCCTCAGAACATGTCCAATTAGTCATTCTCATCTAGCCAATAATCCTCACACTCACCCAAACTCACTCACCCCATTAAGAAAATAAATCCAGAATCCCCAAGAACATGTACCCCATCCTCAATCTACCCTAACTCTCGAAATTAACATCCAATAAATCCCCTCATGATATTCAGTCGCCACAAATTTCGTAATCGATATAACTTCCCAGAAAGCTCTCTTGGCATCCCAGCATTACGTCGATTGCCAACAACCTACCCCCACCCATTTCAATTTGGTTTCGGATCCCATGGGTCTCCAGGGGAATGGCAATTGCCAACACGAGCATAAATATCTGGCAAAAATACCCTTCCAGTACGGTAAAGTTATACTATTAAATATTTCGATTTTTTCTGTCTGGAAGTTTGATCAAAATTAATGTTAGATAATGAATTATGGCCCGGTTGCACCGAGAAAAAAAACAGGTCCACGTGTAAAAACCTGCGTCAAGAAGCAAAGACAATCGGTTGTATAGAAGGAATGGATAATAAGAATATTGATGATAACAACATTCAATTAAGTTGAAAATTAGTTGAACAAAATTAGTTAAAAAGAAATCTTATTCAATTTAATATAATGAAATAAATAAGGAATTATACACGATAGAAGGAAATGATGTGTAAAATAACCATTCGGGAGCATATTGGTAATTTATTAGCAAAAATCAGTAGTGAAGTGGTCAAACGGTTTAAGTCAATTCTATTCTAGCGCCAGTTCTCGATGAATAGCCCAAATTCTAAAGGAGTTAGCAAAATTTCCCTACAAATCTCTTTTGTAAAGAAAAGTGACGACTATCGAGAAAGATCTAACAAAAATTTTTGTAAGATTTTTTTCCATTATTTTCCTGGAGATTTAAAGTTTTTTTCAAATTTTTCAAAGTTTCAGTTGCTCAAGTTTTTTTAGTCATCAAATTGTTTTGATAAGGTTTCTTTGACGGAGTTTTTTAACGAAGTTTTTTTAATAGAAATTTTTTAAACATGAACCAGGTTACACCAAGCCTTATGTTAGCCAAATATATCATCAGAATAAATTTATATCTGGAGTAAATTTATTCCACAGTTAGAACACTATTGGAAATTCATCGTAGAATTTTAAGAATTGTACGTAAAATTTCATCTTTCCATACAATCTTTTCAATTCAGGCATTTTCTAATGACATAAAAATACCTTCTTCTCCCAAGAAAGTGATTCCTTAGCGAGAGTAATTTTTTTCTCACTGCATCCCCAAAACTCGATAATAGGCGCGATAGCAATCTCATACTCTCCGCAGCATTTCTTCCGCCCCTCGCCCCTCGACAAACCAGAAACCCGTACCAAATCCATTGTCCCCAAACATATCCGCAAAAAGTCCCCCGGACATCCGCGTCACGCACTTTTCCCCGCGTAAGATCCCTCGTTTATGCGAAATTGTCCACAAAACAGTCCGTGCCATTGCCCCTTGAAAAACCGTCTCATCCCTCGGGGAGGAAAAAAATTTCACCCTTCCGATGCATATCCGTGTATTGCATCGGCGTGTCTGGGAATCTCCCCCTTTTCCAAGATCCACCATCGTCTCCAAGGCGAGTTGAATGACGCCAAGAGGCAATGGACGAAGTGAGTGGATGGGGCCACACGTGTGAGAAAGTATTGGTACACATGGTTGGACACAATGGCTTCCTCTCGGGTGGGGTTATGTGTCAACCCTCTATATAATTTATCCACCAGCCGTGCAAAGTGCACCAGGATAGTATGAACGGGGGTTGGTTGCATATCCCCAGGTATACACGCGGTTTCCCGTCGACGATTGTATTCAAGCCCTCTTCTTCCGTTTTCCAACTCCCTGCACACCCTCTACTCCTTGTATTTCTGACATTCAAAGCCATATACAATGCAAAATCCTCCCTTACTCTGTTCGGCGGGCGAGGGGAGCGGGTGGGCGAGAGGGGAGGACTCGTAGAAGTGTCCAAGATGCATGTTTTTGAACATCGATGTGACTCTTTATCTTTATCCCATGTTGGGGTTGTGTACGTATTGTGGCCACGGTTGAACAAGCCAAGGGGGGTTCGTAGAATGTAGATTTATATCTGAAGACTACGGTCGACTTGCGGAGATACGGACGATTCAGCCCACCCCTAGTTTCTCATTTTTTTTCTCGTGTTTTTTGTGCCTCGAGAGGGGAAAGTATTTACGAGGCAGTTGTCGACGATGGGGGGAGGGGGGAAGGAGGGGCACGGGGG